ATGGAGGAGAATCTGATCAAAATGCACCAAATTAGTGTATAGCTATTGACCAAGTGACCTGTGGACCACTCTTACAGGGTGGCTCCATTGTCAACTTTCTAAGCCTGAATAATTACAAACAAAACTTGGGTTCTTACCAACCTCTTCTTTTAGTGTACATGTGGCCAGTACAAATAAATATAAGGAGATGGAAAGTAAGGATATGATAAGAAAAGCAAGAGAGAAAGAGTAAATGTATGGAGTTTCATGGTTCAAAGACATCCAGGGAGAATCGTAATGGAATCTGCAATCCTAATTCAAGGCCATCACTACCAAAAGCCTTTTTCTCAGTGAATGATTGAATTGCTCTTGTGTAAATCATGTGTTCAATTACTTGATTGTCAAATAATAATCCTTGAATATGGTAGAATAGAATAATAATAGTTATAATAATGAAGAAGTCAATGCATGAAGACTTGAAGATGGATTGTTTACAATTAATCAAGTCAAAAGGGAAACATCAAAGAGTCAATAATATGAGTGTATATGCCATGGAGCCTGGTCAAAATAGAGGTGCAGCACTCCACCTCCACCTCCACACCACACCCTCCTTGGAAGAAGAAGCAACTGAAGAAGAATGAAGAAGAAGAAAGAAGAAGGAATAATCACTGTGATGCACACCATTGAGGATTCCACCCATGCAGTCTGCCCTTCCACCCATTGAGTGAATGAGTGAGACAGACAGAGACATGGTCTAAGTGTGTGTCTCTATCCCCATCCTTGGAAATAAAGTAGGAAATGAACTAATCAGTATATTAGTTTCTATTTGCAAAATGCTTTTTGAGGGAAAGCACATGTAAGATGTGTTCTACTTCTTCTTCAAGACAAAATGGTGGTATGATCCTCCTCCACAGCAAAGCTATTCTAAAGCCACAAACTGGCAGCAGCAGCAGAATGAGGATTCTGTGTTGGAAGAATACAATGAATGGTCTGCATGGTTGCAGTTGACAGAGTGCAGCAGGAACTGTCAACTATCCCCAGCTCCACCCCTCTTCTGTCTCATAGACTCATCTCTTCCTCATACTGTCACCCTACCCCTCCATTCCTCCCTGCGACTTCTACTTCATTATCATTTTTAGATGTGGATGGTAGTATTTAGCACAAGCATTCTTTCGTTCCCACCATCCCCATACAGTGCCATTGGACACCAAGACACTAGACACAGCATCCCCCATCCCCCATATCCCACATGGGAGTGGATCCCCACAGACATGGTTGCAAGAGAACCCCCACTTTGACCCCACCACAGGCACCAAGAAAGTAAGCTGTAAGAAGAAGGGTGAGGACCTTCCCTGGGGGGGGGACCAAATTAGGAGAGGAGGAGGGAACTGGAGGAGGAATTAACTGAAGTGGGAGGGAGAGATGACAAGATGACAGAGACAGATAACATATGTGGATGAACCCACCTTGTGGAATGAGAGAAGCAACTAACAAATGATATTGTAAAGGAAGGAAGCAGGGTTGGGGAGTGGTTTAGGAAGGCATTGACTTGCACATGATGAAGCAGGGCATGCAGGCAGGCAGGCAGACCTGGACAAACATTGGCTAACTTACTTGCCTTTTTATTCTTATTCTTCTTCTTCTTCTACTTCTTCTTTTTCCTCATCCTCCACAACCTGGCCCTCCTCTATTTCCTTACATATCCTTTTTGATCCCATGTATCAGCCCCATCCTCCTCCTCTGTGTGCTGCACTCCAGGACTCCACTTAGCCCACTCCTTCAATCACTGCCATTCTTTTCCTTCTCCCTCCACTTTCCCTTTCTTTCCTGCCCCCCTTCCTTCCCCTTTGGCCCTTTTCTCCAATTCTGGTTGTGGACCTGATCTGGAACACACACCACCATTTCTGCCTCCATCATCCCATTTTCAAGCTGACTGGTCCCCTTATTGGTCCCATTCAATATCCACCTCTTCTCCTCTTTTTCCTATCTCCTTCTTCTAATTCTGCTGCATTTATTTTTTCTTTTCCTCTCATCCTCCATCATCTATTTCCATCCTTCCTCACTCAGCCCCCCTCTCACCCTCTATTTCTCAACTATGTATATATACATACATATTTTGGGAATTGTTAAAGTGACCCAAGTGTTTGCAAAACTGACCCACTAATCCTAACCATTATCAAAAAATTCTTTTTAACCAGATTCACATTGGTCAGAAACCAATGAAAATATAGTTGGATCTTCAACCAATGATGATGAGGGGGTCAATTTAATAAATACATGGGCTAATTTAACAATTTCATATATGCATATGTATGTATGTATATATATATATATATATATATATTATGACACGCACATACACACACAAATGTTGGGAAATGATTCCCACTAACCAATTTCTTTTTTAATAATAATAAAATCCCCATGCAACTGCCCCATGTGGCTTTGAAATGTCTTCCTTTGCTCAACTAAACTGACTAACCAACACATGCACATACATTAAAACTCACCACTGGCAAACTAGCATGATCAATCTAACTCCTCTCTTATTGTCTCTCTCTCCCTACCAAACCAGAAGACCATAAGAAAGAGACTATGCCATAGCCACAAAATGGTTTGCACCTGGACATAGCTATTCATTCATCCCATGCTACTTCATTCATGATTATTACAGTTGTGTTCTATTCTATTCTATTCTATTCCCATTCCTTCAGTGCCAAGACTTCCATCCATAATTGATATACATGACTCTCTCACTCATGCTCATTCACTAATCAGCAACCAACAAAAAACTCCTACTGTAACACACATGTCTTACAATTACTGAACAATTACAACCTTTGACTGTAGCACATGCAGAAGGCAGTAAATTTTAATGCAATTAAAATCATTCTATTCTTAAATAAATGGGTAAATAAGACAACAAAAATTATTGTGCACCACACAAATGGAAGACATAATAGATTAAAAAGCATCCAAGTATTACACTTGTATTCCAAATCAATGATGCTAAAAATGAAAAAAATAAAAGTCCCACAGCACTTCCATGTATTTGTTTGCTGTAAAATATTCACCTGAAAATACTTTTTTGTGGTAACAAATACATATATATATATATATATATATACATATTTGTGGTAACATGTATATTTGAATATATCATTGATAATTGATCAAAAGTATGAGAAGAAAATGATTATTTATCTTCAAATTTTAACATTTAAAGATAAATAATCAATTTTGAATTTCATCCACTTGCAAATGGGTGAGTGAGTGCATGCCTGCCATGGAAGGTGCCAACTCATCTCACAAGTAATTTAGTAGATACTGATAATCAATATTGACAGATGAGAGGATATGACTGTGTCCTTGTGGGGAGAAGCATGATGATGGCAGGAACATGGTCAATTAACTTGTGCAGTGAGTGGGGCAACATGTTTGGGTGGTTAAAAGCCATGGCATTAAAAACCCTGATACCTGTGGCAGGTATTCATAGAGAGCTAGGAAGAAACAAGAGAGGTGTAGTGAGACTCAGCTGGGTGTGTGCTCTCCCAGTCTCCAAGGCCATTGTAAGCTTTATTATGTAAGAATGTGTCTGTTTGAGTAAGTCATTCAATGCATGCATGCATGTATGAATGAATGAATGAATGTTGGGCTTTAATCTAACTTTGATCTCTGCAGCAAACTCAATCCAAAAGTTACAGAGTCATGCCAAGTGTGTGATAAAACTGCCTTTCAAGTCAAGTGAAGATGGGTAACTGAGAATTTTCATGTCTGTAGCACATAGCTCCAATTAACAGTTAAGCCTCTTCCAAGAGTGTAATTTAAGTTGAAACAAATTCTAATGAAAGAAGAGAGCTTAGAGGGCTAGAATTGATGGGGTGGTTTAATGGATCAAGTGAGCCAAGAAAATAATGATTCAATTAGCAGGAGCAACCAGATTTTCTTTAGGCTTCTTCTTGCATTGATTGGTGTCTTGGTGGAGGCGGTGGTGGTGGAATGTGGGGCCTGGTACCCATGGAGAAGAAACTATTTCAACAGGAAAGGTAGTGACAAGGAGCGCAGCGGAAAGATCAGCTGGAGGCGCATGGGGAGCAAGAGGAAGCATGGTGATGACGAGGGCGAAGGTGAGTTTGGGGACGGAGGAGGAGAGCCTGGTCCTCCTATTCTGACAGCGTTGCCGAGGCGTTGATATCCAGCATTAGCAGGGATCGGGGGGGTGCACCATTCCTAATGAAAACAGCCAAAAGAGGGAGAGAGCATTCTGCACCGTTCGGCCAAATGAAAAGGGAGCGAGAAAGAAGTGAGAGAGGAGGAGGAGGAAGGGGAGTGGTCAAAGAGACCTCTGTCTGTCTGTGATGGTGGTGGTGGTGGTTGGGGCCCTACAACGCGATGCAAGCCAGCAGAGCCCCCGTTCCGGGAAGCTCGCCCGTTCGAGAGGGGGGGAGGGATCCGCGTCTCAACAGGTCGCTGCCACTTGTTGCGGAGGAAGGCTACTCCCGAGCCTACCTCCCAACCTCCCTCTTGGTGCCTCCATGTTCCCGTGTGTGTGCGGGGGGGAGGGTTGGGCCTCTGAGTTAGTTTCCTGCGTGCTCGGTCCACTTCGGGAGCTGCCACGTTGGCACCCGAACCCTGTGCAACGTCCCCTCACTCATGCCTGCCTGCGCCCCGCTTTTCCATCTGACGGTCACAGGCGGTGCCCGTTCTACACAGGGACCCGATCCCGCGTAAGCCACGGTGAGTGTGAAAAGGCACGGGGTTAAAACTGATGCCATAGCCACGCCGTGTTTTGTGTGCTACTAATTGGATGGCATATAGAACGATGCGATCCGGGCAACGTGGGGATATTTGCGGGGTTCATATAATTGCATTGCATGCCATATCGCAGCAGCAGCAGCAGCTCAGTGCATGATTGCCCGTCGTGGTGATTGCCTCTTTGGCAGCCCACCCCCCCCCCCCACTCTCCCCTTCCTCCCCCACTCTCTTTTTTTACTCCTGCTGGCTCCCCTTTAGTCTTGTGCGTCCGAGCGTGGCATCCTCTGCCTCGTAGCTGTCAGAGCTGCTCGCCTGCCTTCCGCCCCAGGGAGCCCTAGCACTGTCCGGGACTTGCGCCCTCTCGGCCTAAGGTTAGAAACCGGATTGTTTCCGCAATTATCGCTGGAAGGAACGTTTGATTGCGGCCTGGGTGCAAGGTGTTGTGCTTGCCTCTCTTTGTAGCCACCATGGCTCTCCGCTAAAGGTGTGGACATTTCATGGTGATTAGCTTGTGGTATTCAGAATCCTTGGTTGATTCTTAACGCACACTTCTTTCTATCCGAGCTCTGCAGCCGCATCGCCGATTTGTGTGGTCGTGTGACACATCATACTCAGTTCACCATTCGCAGTGCTAGTTGTTTCACTCTTTGTGCGGAAGCCACGTACGGAACACAGATTTGAGCTGGTTACAAAGTCTCGCAGGAGGATTTCTTGTTTGCCAGAAGTTTTCACAGCTGTCGTGGTGCATGGCTGGATGCTTGTTTTGACGCGATATAGGTTTGTTGAGGTTCTATCCCTCGCACACTTATATTTGGTTTGGAAATTGTATTGAACCAAGCTCCCTTGCCCATCATTTGCTATTTAAGTGGAGGCGTGCCTTTAGGGCCAGAGTCGTTCTCTGCGCTACATTTTTCGATCGAAACTCTCCTCGGTAACGCTTCGTTACAGCCAGTCGCAAGGGTAGTGACATTGAATGGCGATAGAATATGCTGTTTGCGTTGAATCCAAATCAATCTCAAGATGTGTCTTTGACTCCCAGTACATTTTGAATGAACCGCGTTACATTATTTTAGCAGAGTTCCAGGCTAGGACGCTCGTCGGATTGATAGAAGGTTTTGGTTGCATCAACATTGAGATTTGAGTTCATTGTTAGTAACTTAACACCTGTATTGGCAGTAAAGATGATGTTTATAGCTGTTCCACTGTAATTGTTTGTGCAACTTGCCGGAGAGATTGCATTGTTATCTCCGCGGGAGTGTTTGTAAACGCTTGTTGCGATGAAGACCCCCGGCATTATTCAGCGATCGCTGTCGACGCCTAAAGGACGGCGGTTGCAGAAAACCATCAATAATATGAAAGTTACAGTTTTGTGCGGGCTTATGACTATCTTGGTGCTGCGCGGAACGATTGGGGCAGGAAATTTTGGAACTCCTGCCCAAGATTTTGAAGAATTGAGAGCTCATCTCAGGTCGGCCACGCGGGAGTATCACGCCGTCCGTGTTCTTAATCAAATTGATGAGGAGACCTTAGTTGATGGGTCTTACTCTGATGATGCGGAGGAATCAAACAGAGATCCGGAGAAACCTTACAGCCTCGGACCTAAAGTCAGCGACTGGGACCAACAGAGGAAGCAATGGTTATCCGAGAACAGTCAGACCCTTCCAAAGTTGAAGCGGAAGCCGCGCATACTTCTTGTAACGGGCTCTCAGCCTTCCAGCTGCGAGAGCGCCGAAGGTGATAACTTTTTGCTGAAGTCCATCAAGAACAAAGTTGACTACGCACGACTGCACAACATCGATTTTTTTTATAATATGGCGCATTTAGACCAAGAGATGACAGGGTTTTGGGCGAAACTACCTCTGCTACGCAAGCTTATGTTAACGAATCCGGAGATGGAGTGGGTCTGGTGGATGGACAGCGACGCATTGTTCACGGATATGTCCTTCAAGGTGCCTCTAGAGAAGTACAATAATTACAATCTTGTGTTGCACGGCTTTGACGATAAAGTATATCAGCAGAAGCTGTGGACGGGTTTGAACACCGGGAGTTTCTTCATTCGCAATTGTCAATGGTCTCTGGACCTTTTGGACGCTTGGGCACCCATGGGACCAAAGGGGGTGATCAGGAATCGAGCAGGTGTGCATGCTGCCCTATTTGTTTTGGCTTGAATGTTTCTTTTCGCTATTTTGAAATCTTTGAATTATCCCGCTTTTCTTAGTGCATGTGCCATGGGGCTGGATAGTTTTCACAATCTTTGTGAGATGGTACTTCGGAGGATTGTGAGCATTTTTAATTTACTTTGTTTGATCTCCCAGGTGAAATGCTGTCGAAGAGCTTGGTCGGAAGGACGAATTTCGAGGCTGATGATCAATCTGCTCTGGTGCATCTGCTGATCGCCCAAAGGCAGGAGTGGGCGAACAAGGTGCTTCTGGAGAATTCGTACTACCTGCATGGCTACTGGGTGGACTTGGTGGGAAAGTACGAGGAAAACATGGCGAAGAGTCATCCTGGGTTTGGAGACGACAGGTGGCCATTCGTAACGCACTTCGTTGGGTGCAAGCCTTGTGTGAAGAATGGAGGGGACTATCCTGTGGATACTTGTTTCAAGCAGATGGCGAGGGCTTTCACGTTCGCTGACAATCAGATTTTGGATGTTCTCGGTTTCCGGCACAGGAAGCTGGGCTCGCCTAGAGTAGTAAGAATAAGAGAGGATACTTCACATCCATTGGAGCTGCAAGGAAAGAGTCTGGACACACTAACCTCGACTGAGTAGATGTTTGGTGTCTCAAGGTATCTTATATGCAACATGGAAGCGAGTTTTGGTCTCTTCTCATTCTTACGGCAAAAACCGCGCAGTTGTTGGCGTCAGTTTGAAGTTGTATACCCCTGCCACTTGTGACGGGAGATAGTAGATGCAAGAGAGACCAGAGCCATTGCCTGGGGTCCTCTCTCAGCATCTACCTTGTTCTCACATGTATTGTAGAGACAGTTGCGTTCAATCCATTGTCTCAGAATCAGTGCTGGTCGAACTCGCTCTCAGAATTCTATATATTCCTTTCAAAATCGGTCATTTATAGCACAGCTACATCACGAGAAACTTGGTGGACGTTCACGTGTCTCGTGCGTCTTCACTGTTCATTGTAGCAGCGGATTTACGTACCTTTGACGTTTTTTAAATTTTAATGAAGTATGTATTGGTTGTATACATTGATATTATAAATTTGACAGTTAAATTTTCATCCTAATTCAAGCTATGAGAATTGAAGACATTCTAACCATTATTTGTAACAGTTAGTACATATACATGTATATACACAGAAATGTCCCTGAATATTTATTTTACATCATATTCGAGATAGGAGACAGGATATCATTCCTTAAAGTAATAGTAATTATCTTATTCATACTTGAAAGAAAAAAGGAAAAAAAGAAAAAGTTAACAGAGTAAGTAGTGACAAAACACAAAAAAATAATTACATACTACAATTCTTTAGTAATGTATGTCTCTTCACAACTTATTAAAATGAACATAGAGTTCATTTTAAATTTTAATTTTAGAAAAAATTGTCTTTTATGTTAAATACAATTTATTGGAAACACTTTTTTAAAAATTTAATTTGAAGATAAATTTTTGTAGTTTAGAAAATAAAATATTAAAAATATCTTTAATAACTTTAAAAATATGCTTAGATGGCATTTAAAAAAAGAACTTCTAAATTGTTCTAGTTTTTTAGACAAGTCGACAAAAGAAAATAGTACTTGGTTCTTATACAAAGACTATTTTATAATCTTATAGTAAATTACAATATCAAATTAAATCTTACTATAATAAAACATATGTGATACAAAATTCTAATTTTATTTTAAAAAAATTTACATGATTTGCAGCTTTGTCTTGCTTAAATTTTTTGGATAAAAGACCTTGCAAAGATCTTTGAAGTTTAGAATGGTGGTGCATTTTTATAAGTTTGTAGAATAGTGTTGTGAAGGCCTTGCAATGAGATCTTAGATAGTAACATTGGAATAGCCTACAATGCGCCTTGAAGACTATTTTATTTTTGTATGAAAATATTTTAAGATAAGAAAAAAAGAAAAAGATAAAAAGAAAAAGAAATGTAACTCTTGGAAATATTTATAAATTATTTTTCTATTTTGATGAGCAAAGGTATACAATGCAATATATTATGTAAATAAAGATTTTTATATACACCAAATTTGTTCCATATTTGATATTTGTTTTTTTTTAAAGTTTCTTATAAATTTCAAATTTATGGCAATTGAATGCCATAAAATAATATTAAATATGTAATTAAATACCAATAAAAAAGATGCATAATAAATACATCTTTAAGTGCCTTCCTTCATCTTTTCATAAATTTGAAGCCTATTCAATCAATTAAAACCATATTATTTACAAAATCAAGGTGATTGTCATAGTGATATTGCTACAACTATTGTCATGAATATATATATATATATATATATATATATATATATAATTATCTAGATAATATGAATAAGTAGAAATAAATAAAAAATAGATCAATTGGACAATATCTTGTAGAAAAGCTTTCTAGAAGTTTTATAAACACGGTTTCACCTTTATACATATTTATAAGTGATTGATAGGTTAGAAACTTGGCCAACAAATTAACCACATATTATACGTATTGGTAGCTTATGGTACAAGCTAACAATGTGGTGCACTTATAGGAAAATTGCCTTATAAGTTAAGACATGCATCTCGCAAATTGAACACATGTTGGAGGTCCTATAGAATGTTGCCACATAGCGTTTAGGTAAGTGTATGTAGAGGCAAGAGTGAAGCTATCTTCATTCTTATCAATTCCTTTCTTTCTTAAAGAAACTCCATCTCTTACTTCTTAATAATTTATTTTTTATTTTTTTATTAATTTTCATCCATTAACGAAAGTCATCTATATATAGTTGATCATCCATGAATAATTTCTCATTCAATTTCTCATATATGAATAATTTATCATCTACTTTTAAGACTCATCCATGCTTAAATTCAATCGATGTTTAAATAATTCATCCTTTGCATGATTTTTTATCCAATAAAAAAACATCCACTTTTAATCCAGTTCTAACCTAACTCCCGTCCAACAAAAGCTATCCTAATCGCGTCTCTGCCAGCTGGAGGAGCTCGCACTGGTTGCAGCTAATGGAAGAAGCTGCCCTCCACCACAAGCAGCTGCCACTTCCAGAACCACCGACTACCTAAAAGAAAACACCTCGAGCTCCCGAGACACACAACAACACGCTGAGTCACCCAAACGAATCTAAACCCAATTGCACTTAAAGCACAAAGGAGCGGAATCCTCTTTCTGGAACCCACACAGAAGGGATGGGTAGAAGCTCCAGCCACCATGAAAACTGCTGCACCACTGTTGCCTTCTCGACCTTGCAGCTGCCAATGGAGGATCGTGACTCCAACTTGTCGACGATTTCCCAGATGGCTTCCCCACACCATCGAGTACAGACCAGGCGCTTGCTTGCTGCTGCCGTTGCTCAATATCGTCGAGCAGCTAGAAGAAAAATCTATCGCATCAATGTAACTTGCCAGAATCTTGCATGAAGGGAGGAAAAAATGGATTCAGCCAGCGTCAACGAGGACAACCACCTCATCACAAGAACCTCCCAGATCCATGCAAAACAACGCGTGGACGATAACATTGACCTCCACCAACAATCGGAAGGGAAAAAAAAATTAAAAAGAAACCGACGAAATGCTGATCACTGGAAAACCAGGGTGTTGCACTCTTGTGGAGTTCTCTCAGACCTCAACGAACCCTACACTGGCACAGATTACAACGTGCACACAAGTGCTGGAATTAGCCGGATTTATCGTAGTACTCAGGCGCAGCAAAATCGCTGTTGTGGAAGCTCAAATGTCGTCGATGCCGCACACATAGTTTTGAAAAAAAAATGAGAACCACCACCTCGATGCGCTGCCATCGACGCACAGATTGAGTAAATTTGAACCAGGAAGCGCCATCTCCCTTTGTAGGCCAATCGTCGAGTTAATTGGCTAAGTAAACCATTTCAAGTCCACTAGATCAACAACACCAAGCGAAGGAGAGAACAACTGATGACCAACCTCCACGCCTCCACACCTAATCAACGAAGCCACATCCAGAGAACTTGGAAGCACAAATAGCCATTGTCCTTGTCCACGACTCGTAATCAGCAAGCACCGCAGCTACTACAAACCCAATTAAGCCCTCGTTGACACTCCATCGCATCTTCTCCTCCGACATGTTCCGCAAAGAAGAAAACATAAATGATAGCAACCTTGGTCCTCAGCCGCAACACCACCGTTGAATCATGAGATCGGAAGCCCTCCCTGCCACCTTGAACCCAATACTATATGCCAACCGCTCATCAAGCAAGGAAAAAACCAAATACCGATTATAATGAACAATTGACAACGAATACACCTGCGTTGGGCACCACCCAACGGAACTACGTAAATACCCGCAACTACACACATGCACTTACACAAAAAGACCAGCGAAAAAAACTGCGAAGGGACAGAGTCCGAGGGCCATTTCCAAAATTAAAAAAAAAAAACAAAACCAGAGATCAAGAAATGCTGCACAGCAGCACTCCCACAATGCAAGAGTGGCAAAAAAAAAAAAAAAAAAAAAAAAAAACCGTTCCGGAGTGCCCAAAGCTCGTGAAAAACTTGAAGAGGAAAACAAAAATCAAAACAAGAGAGACGAGATCCTGGGTGGCCCGGACCCCTCTCTTCCTTGTCATAATCTTCTTTTCTACTTCTCCTTCTTTTGGTTACCTTTTTTTCTTTTTGGATTGTTTTGAATTAGAGATTCTATTTTGGAACATTTATGTGACTCTTATATGGCATCCATTTGAGACAACTCAAAGAGGTAGAGAATTTAGAATTCTTGCTTTAAAGGCAAGCCTTTATCTAAAATTAGTCTATTTGGTTATAATATTCTATCAAAATTAAGAGGAGTAGTGCTAAAGAATCAAAATAAAATACTCATAAAAAGATTGTGATTAGTATTAGTTTTACTCTAATCTTCTAATATTAATTCTCTTAAGATAGAAACGCTTTTGAAGAAAAAAGACTTTTTACTAAGCTAAGTGAAATCATTCTATGGAATTAGACAAGAAACAAAATAAAAGAGATAGAACAATAGGAAATAAAAAGAAAAGAAAAGTAAAATACTTTAAAGTAAAATATCTAATAATTAGTGCTATATTATTATTATCCAAAGAGAAGAATTTAAGTAAGAAGTTATGAGGCCTACATATCTTTTAGGTTGCCCAAGTTGGCCACTTCCTACTCTTACACTAGCTTGTGTAGATAACTATTTATATATATGCAATTTGAATTCTAATCACTTCTTACATTGTTGTGATATAACATGAATAATAGGTGAAAAGGACAAAGAAGTTATTATATTATAGAAGATCTTACTTCAAATATTGTAGCAAATTATCTTAGAAAATAGACAATAGTCCAAAAGAAAGTAAAACTAAAGGTGTAAATACTACCTTTTTGCAAAGTAGGCTTCTACTTACTTTATAAGACCATAAATAAGGCAAAAAAAGATAGATTATAAAAATAAAGGATATGAGCATATATAGGAGGAAGTTAAGAGTTGATTTGAATAAAAATTAATTCAAAAAGGCAAGAAATTTGATATCCAAAGAAAACCAATTATCAACCTAAATCGAAATCAGACCTTGAGGCACAAAACCGAGCATCTATGAAACTTTGGGGCTCTTTTGTAAATCAAAGAATAAGGTTTGAGAATAAACTAAATAAGGTTTTTTTGAGCATTGATTTTGAATGATTTGATTATGTGAAGTCGTTGTAAAAGCTTTACAAAGTTACAATTGTTTTGGATGATTTTTGAATTTGTGAAATAAAAAGGATATTACGTTTTGGAGAATTTTGTGAGTTTGGTAGTTGATCTATGGTTCAAATTTTAAGAACTTATGAAAATAGTTATTTAAAGAGTATTTTGTAAGTTTGAGTTTGATTGAACAATTGAATTGAAGGTTATTGAATTTCAAGTAGGTTGAGATCTCAAAAATTGGACTTAGAGAGGTAGTTAGGATTTCTAAGATCTTCAGCAATCTACTAATTGGATTGGAGTGAAATTTATTTATAAGAATAATAGACTTGATTTTCTACACATATGTGAAATTTGAGAATAATTGAACAATATAAAAAAGAAAAATTGGCACT